TTTTTATGAATTGAATAATAAACTTTTAACAAGTAAAACTCAATGAAGAGGCTTTTGAAAAATTCAAGAAAATTTTGAAGCTTACATTCGAATTTTTGGAATATTCCTACGTTGACAAGGCAGAAGTATTATGTAAATATAATTCAGATTTTTAACTAGTCAATATAGGAAATGAGCAAAATATATGACCTTCAAAAAGCCTCCATTTGTATTATACATGCAGACTCAGGGGGGCAAACATTGGACAAAATTTCTAAATGGTCAGAAATATTGCGAATAACAACTGTGTTATTCCTAGAACAAACAGCGCTATGCCATATTGCAATGTAAATAATGTAAATGCTGCTGAAGGAAATCCAAGACTTGACAAAAATAAGTTGGGTTTGGATTTTTATGAACAAACGAATATCCTGAATTTGTAAATGGTATTCAGCAAATAACAATAAAAAAAAGTCTGTACAAATCATATAGAATCCACCTGAATGAATGAATCTGCTTCAATTAAAAACAGTTCTTCGTCAAATCACACACAACAATAAAACAATTTAATAGCAAATATAAGTTGAAAGAGTTCCATTGTAAGTCGGTGAAATATAAGCCATTCTTTAAATGAATTGTGTAAAAGCTTGTGTAAAAAATTCTGTTAGAATCCTGTGTAGTAAATACATATCACAGTAAGGTAAAGGCTTTTTCTTACAAGATATGACAATGTACCTAATTTGTATTACATGCTTCCACTTATCTGCTGGTTACGTGCCATCCATGTTGTGGGCTGGCATTCTTGCAGCAATCATGGGGAAAAGACCAAACAGACTGGCGCCTGGCGTCTGGCATCTCCATGAGAAAGAAACGGCTGAATGACAATGGATGTCATCTAGTCATACTGCTTGCAGCAGCATGTATTGGCATGTGAAACTGCACAGACACCGTTTTGCCTAGACACCACCTAACTAAAGTCCACTGCAAGACACTGTAATTACAACTGCAATTTCTAAACAATTAAAATTTCAGATCCAGTTTGTAAAAAGAAAAATAAAGCCTTCCCCGACCCCCAAATAAGCTCCTTTAGTCGCCATGCCTGAAGTACTTTTAGTCCCTCAGCAGATCTCAAAACAATAAACTCTTCCCTTGTTCCTGCTTAGCTAGAAACATTTAGGAAAAGCAACTTGAAATGCTGCAGAGCATACAAGTGTCGAGTGAATAAAACAGAATTTGTACAAATATGTGTGAGAAAATTAAGTTGAAGCATAAAATTGCCAGGAATGTCATGATAGTTACACCCTTGGCTTAAGAAATACTGTTTTTACTTATTTTGGGATGACAGAGGAAGCGAAGTTTCTGTATGCTGTTGTTCAGGAGGAGGAAGAGAGTGTTTGAATTCCTAGCTTCTTTCCCTTGAGCCCTTTTAATCACCAATCTACTCAAATACCAATCATTTTAAGTCTTGGCTAAAACTTTGCCATTGTCTATTACCAGTTAAATTATTTTTTATGAAATTGATACACTAAAATTAATAAAATGTGCACTAAATATTGAAAATATCAACATTTTAGCACAGTGGTTAAATCAAATTATTCTGACTAGACTAGGCTTATTATTAAACCCCAAAATACCAAATCAATCTGACTTCTTTAAAACTTGCAACCCTCACGAAAACTAAATTTTAGTATGCTGTTCCATGTTAAATAGGAAATGTTACATGTGCAAATACTTTACATTTGCAAATTGGTAAGGATTTTTAAGAAAAGTTATTTTGCTGCCAATTTCTTAATCAATAACGGTGGTCATATACTCACTGCAAGTAATTGATTTGTGTTTGTTCTGATTGTGTGTATGGGATACCTCTTCTTACTGCTGAAGCATTTCGCCTCCGAACGAAATTTACCCCAAATGCCACTTTGAATAGCTATAAAGGAGGTGATTTATTGCAGCCTAGGTGAATCACTCACTCTTAATTTTCCAACTCTGCTTTGTTTTGCTACTTTACACTGTATGTCAATGCTCTAATGTGCTGACTATCTTGTGCATAAAACATATTTTTGTAAATATGTCACTAACAGTTCTACAAGTAAATAAATTTATTCAAGATTTTATTTTAAATAAAGAAGTCCAATTTCTCAGTTTTACATTTTTTCAAAACAAAAGAGGCGAGGGAAAGGAATAATTCAGTTACTGAATTGTATCAAGTGTTTTCAGTAAATTATGCTTAAACATATTTAAATACACATAAAACATTCATACAAAGTTTCTTTTCTGGGAGTAACACACTTTCAGTTTAAGGAAACTAACAAAGTTAAACAGGAAATGTTCAAATGGGCGAAAGAGAGTGCTTTGCAATTTGAGTACTATTACACTTTTATAGACAAGATGATAATTATACAGACACTAATGAAAGCAGGGTATTTTCATTACTAAAACACCTACAGCCATATACACAACATATAAATTTTACAGTTCACATCAACTTACTGCTAAATTATTAGAAACTGTCCTTATTCAAGTTGCATAGAGTCCTGTAACAGAGTAAACAATGTGATATTTCTTTATTGCTAAAAAGAAAGGTTCAAAACCAAAATATTTTGTGATGAATAATAAGTGTAAAATTTTAATTAATTGCCCTAACAACATAAAATAGGACCATAAATGGTAACAATGTTATTGTGTTTGAGCCTAAATAAAATATCCATAATATTCAAGCCAATTCTTGTATTCCAATTTGCTGCAAACCCAACCCTGTATTTCACACAATCAGGTCTGCATAGATTGTGGAATAACCGCTTTTTCCTCTGCACTGTTACAATAGCCATAAATCTTCCTTCTCATTTTCATCATAAAATATAGGTTTCTTTAAAAACGAACGAACACTTGAACTGTATCACCCAGATATGTGTTAGATTCATGTTAACTAGTGATCCAATTTTTTAAAGCAAAATTCAAATATAAATGTTATTCTGAATCATAGAAAAATAAAAGGAAATTGCAGTTTAAGGCAAAGTTCATGTCTTGATGCGTCTATCCAGGCAAACGTAGTCAAAAATGCAAGTAAGACACTGAAGATTCCTATCCCTAGTACAAATGCAGGAACAAACTGAAATGATCAAATGAACAACATAATTACATTGTTTGCTAGCATTTCCATTCTGCAATGGGAAGTTGGAAATTATGTTTAAATGAAATTACTAAACTTTTCCTATCAACTTTCTGATGAGAACAATGGATCATGCTTCAGAAATGCCCAAACAGTAAAAAGATTTTGAGAGAAATGGATGAAAAACATGAAAGACGATAACGTAATAGGTGTGGAAAAAATAATTTGTAGCCTCAAAAATACAGCCACAAAATTATCTTCGATTTCTTAATTGCCTGCTGCAGATGCATCAGCCACCACATAACAACTCAAAATCACAGAGTACAGTTCTGAAATCTAATTACATATTATCTGAAGATTTGATGAAATATATTCCAAATAGTTCCCAAAGAATTGTTGAAGGTCACTTCCCAGAGAATACACATAAATTCATAGAATAATTTTTTTAGGATTTTAATCTAGTGTAGCTGTTGGTGCCGTTATTGATCATGTTTCAACATCATATTAGCTCTACAAATAAAACTTAATAAATGGACACAATACCCTACATTACATTTTAAAAAGGCTCATTCCATGACCTTTACTGTGACACCTGGCATAGTGCAAGCAAAAGAAATATCAATTTCCTTAGAATGTTATTAGCACAATTCCATTAAAGTCAATTTAAAAATATGAAACAAGAAGGAATGATCCTCAACTTTTTTTCATTTTTCTCATCTTGCCTTTTTTTTTTCCTAAAGAGGCCTTTCTGTTTAAGCAAATGTGAATTACATCAAGGGACAATACTTTATAATAGTTACTAAATATGATGATTTGAGGGAGCAGAGCTAGTTATAATCATTTACCCATGACATACCTCAGTTTCAACTGAAGACAGCGTTGACTTCATTCTCACTGGTGCTGAATTTGAATTGATTTAAGTCAAATATTCTAGATTTTAGCTCAATATCCAGACTCTTAATTAAATAATAAACATTACACTTTAAGTTAAAATGCAATTATGTAGGCAGGTGTGGCAATAACATTTCACAAATCACAAACGATTGACTTTTTTCCACGATGTTGGTGAGCAATGTTGGCTCTTCCTTAAATAATGCTGTTTCATCTGAATGACAGCATTTTTATCAATGCAGTATTAAAATACCAGTCCAGAATACACAATCAAATCAAGGGCTGGGTGTTGCACTAAAACCAATTTACCCACCTGAACATTATTGGTCTGATTTCCCAGCTGTGGACAAACTTTACGAGTGAATTTGTGGACACTACCTTAGCTTTGTTCACAATATAATTTTTCACCTGACATTTACCAATTGACAACAGTTTAATCCTGGAATATGTGCATTAAATGTTTTGTGGTTAGTCTCACGTAATTGTTACCTACTTCTAATTTACCGCTTTGAACATTAGTGCAGTGACAGTTATCAAATCAGATCACACAAATCATACTGCTATTCAAGTAAAACACAAGAAGTTGTGTTGCAACTGAAGATTCAAGAAATAGAATTTATTTACTACGTTCCTGAACTTCACTATCGAGGTAGGTGCTACATCATCCCACTTTGACCAAATTTCAAGTTAAAACTGCCAACTATTTGGCATAAAATTAACATCCTTCTTACAAATGCCTTTAAACTATTCTGTTCTACCCTGGAAACTATCTTAAAGGAAAATTAACAATATTTCTATAAACTGCTGAAAGTTACTTAAATGGACTCACTGCCTACCTGATTGAACCATTGTTACAATGGAGTCAGTGATTACTTTTGGCTACAGGCAATTAAATGAGCATTTTCAACTTATTCATATATAATGGCATTTGATAATAACTGTATATAGACAGACTGCACAATTACAGAAAATTTTGTTTTGCAGTTTACAGTGTCGGGTTAATTTTGTCTTCTTTTTACAGCTCAAGCTAATTTCAGAGTTTCGACAGAACTCATGGCCAACACAGAATGGACTGAAGAATCTATGTTATCCAATGGCTGAATCTGAACTTATAAACAACAAACATGAATTGAACACTTCTATGACCCTCTTGAATTTAACAGGAACACAACACAGGTGGCACGGTGGCTCAGTGGTTAGCACTACTACCTCAGAGAGCCAGGGACCCAGGTTCGATGTTACCCTCGGGTGACTGTGTGGAGTTTGCATATTCTCCCTGTGTCTGCGTGGGTTTCGTCTGGGTGCTCGGTTTCCTCCCACAATCCAAAGCTGTGCAGGCTAGGGGGATTGGCTGTGCTAAATTGCCTATAGTGTGCAGGGATGAGTAGATTAGATGGGTTATAGGGGGATGGGTCTAGGTGGGATGCTCTGAGGGTTGGTGTGGACTTGTTGGGCCAAAGGGCCTGTTTCCACACTGTAGGGATTCTATGATTCTATGATTCACAACAAAGCCTGTGAATCAAATTGTTTTGCTTGACATTCTGCTCATTGAGTACATCCAGCATTCGACAGACATTTAAATTACACAGCGAATTGTACCTAATAAAGGAACAAATTAAAATTTAAGTGTTAACTTCCTGAATAATATCTATTAACTGAAACATTTAGTAATTTATCAGAAAGCATATTTTGAAGGGTTGAGCCATTACCATCAGTTCAAATAATTATTAACTCTATTTATACAATATTCATTTGTTAAATTCACTCTCTGTGCTGCCTGATTACTCATGGAATTTATCTTAATGCCTTATTTACTGTTTTCAAGCTTGGTGGTATCAGACAACATGGTCTTGGTGAAATCATTGATGACAATGGCGAAATGAAACAAGTCACAAAGAAATAGTACAAGTTTTAAATGCACTTTTATGGTTATCTTTTTAAAAAGTTGCTTTACTTTATCAAAAGAATAAACATCAGCTGCTCTAGCAGCTAATACTGTTTATAACCTATTGATAAAGTAAGCCATTTTGGAAGTGGACTGCATGAATGTGAAGACATCCAAGGTGGCTTGGGAAGCAGTTGCCTTAAAACATTGAGCAACATGTAACTGGAAAAATTAAATGTCTATAAATATGAAAGTGGCATTAATGGAAGACAATGATGAATAATGTTCAAAATGACATAATAAGAGGCTAGCAGAGACAGAAGGAAGGAAAAATAGGAAAATAGATATAAATAAACCTTTATTTCATAAATATTTTCTCATGCTGGCATTATTTTGTAATAGAAAATAACTTGGATTACTGAAAAATAAACTGTTCAGCTCCATCATGCGTGATAGAAGCTAAGAATTTCATAATTATACAATGTAATTTTGGTGGTGATTTGTTTTTAGTGGAAAAAACAGGAAAGGGAAGTTGTCAGAAGAACGTCTGGTATCCCCTCTCTTGCGTTAAGTGAATTCTTACAGTAATTTCTGCTTTTAATCTATACCCATCATTTAGAAATTAAAAAAACAACTCAGGAAATTTGTTCTTGCTGCACAAGTTGCAGCATTAGTATGTCAGTGACAATTGATGGCAGGAGCTGCTTTCAAGGACTTACTTAGTGCAGCACTGCAAGGGAACTAAATTAACATATTCTGTTGAAATGACAAGACCATGAAAGCACACTGTGTAAATAAAGTTATCGAGCACTGTTAATTCAGTCCCATCACATTGTTGAGTTCAGTAATTATGCCAAGTCTGTTTCCATATTAAATCATCAACATTTACTGAGTATACCAACAATCAGAAAAGTCATGAGATAGAATTGTAACTTGTTCCTGATAACAACACTCACTTTTTGAATACAGACCAAATGTACCCAAAGGGGTTACAACCCAGCTATTCACTGTGAACAAATGCACTCAGTAAAATAATTCACACAGTATTTACGCAGGAACAGCTGAGCACAAATATTTTACTTTACGTGGAACAAAAGTCAGTAGTATTTAAGTTTACATTGAAGAAAAGGCAGAACACTAAAGGAAAATATACACAAAACTAAAATATTAATTTTGAAATGTGTCTGTGTGTTATAAATGCTAGAAGCAAACATTGCAAAATATTGCACAAGTGTAACAAAGCCGTACTTGTATAATCCCATTAAAACACAAAAGTGAAAGTGGTCTACAAACAAATAGATTTTCTAGGATGCTTTTACAATAAACACTCCCAAGTTGTAGCTGTCCTTCGCCCCGATCAATGTTTGGTAATGCTTTTGCAGTACTGACTATTTAAGGATGAAAGGAGACCAAATTAACATCTTCAGACTACAGCCAAGAAGGGTTAGAATTTATAGAATTAAAATGAGAAGCTCAATATAATTATGCATTAAGTAATTTGACTATAAACCAATTTTAGCATTTATGGACAGCAATAATCATCAGCTTCTCCAAATGAGTCATCAGCGAACAGATTACAATTCCTATTCCTTGCATTTCACCGTTCCAGGCTCAACTCCTAATCCCCAAAACCCAACCAGTGCTACTGCATCTCGTCAGTCTTCAACCAACCCAACTTGAAGTGAAATCATCATTGCATTTAAAAACATTAAAAGAAAATTTACTTTCAGCAGTGCTGTAGATCATTTCTACCATTGAAATCATATTGAACTTTCTGCCTTTGTTACCTTCTGCTCAACAAACCTAGCACTTTTTTGACCAAAAAAGGGAAAACTTTTGCCAAGTTTCTGCCAATAGCTGGTCATTAAGAGGTACACAAATTTTTGACTAAAAGCAATTTAACTTTCTTTCACCCTGCACAATGCTTGGTAACTACTTCAGCAGTGTGCAGCTATGCAAAAAAAAAACCTACATAAGCCTCTAGTTAGTATCATGTCACCCTTTACTATTTCCTCAGAAATACATACAACAAAATACATTGTCAGAAATAAAGGTGGGTTTGGATCATAAAATAGTGTTTTATCTTTGATATGTGTGAAAACATTAAGGTGTCAGGCCATTCAATTAAGGCTAACATGTCAAATTACATTTACTAAAAGACTGCAGAATGAATACAGGGACAACAGATGGAGGCACAGTCATAATTCACTGGACCAGTAATCCAGAACTCAATGCTAATGGTCTGGTGATGAGGTTTTGAATCCCATCTTGGCCAACAGTGAAATTTGACTTGAATAAAATCTAAGATTAAAGACATGTTTAAGTGCAAACATGCAACCATTGTCAATTGGCATAAAACCCATCTCATTCATTAATATCCTTTAAGGAAGGAAATTTGTCTTTTTTAACCTGTCTGACCTACATGTGTTTCCAGACCCATAGAAATATGCTGACCCCAACTGACCTTTGAGATGGCATAGAAGTCACTCAAATGTATGAAAACTACTGCAAAGTTTAACCAAAGGAATTAAACAAGACCACTTAGCAGTAACCTAGGCACCAAAAATTACTTCAACAACCCAGCCCTGTTGACCCTGAAAAATCTCCTTCCTCACATCTTAGGGTCTTGTGCCAAAGTTGGGAGAGCAGTCCAAGAGACTGTCCCACATCCTGGTCAAGCAACTGCCTGATACAGTCATATTCTTAGAAAATACCTTATAAACAATACCCAAGGCACTGTCATCACCATTCCTGAATGTGTCTTATGCCACTGGCAGGACAGACTCACCAGAGATGATGCTACAATGGTATACAGCCAGGAGAGAGTTGCCTTGGGATTCCACAGTATTAACTTTGGACCCATGAATTCTCATGCATCAGGTCAAACCAGGACAAGGAAACATTCTGCTGATACCGAGTTCCCTCTCGTCTAATGAATCAGTACAATTCCATTTTGATCACCACTTGGGAGAAGCAGTAAGTAAGGAAAGGGCACAAAACGTACCCTGGGTCCATCCCCAAGAGTGGCTTAGCAGCATCACCTCTGACCGAGGCAGTAGCATCCGAAAGGATATCTCAGCAAGACTGGGTCTGTGGCAGGTGACGAGGAAACTAACAAAAGCAGAAAACTAATTGACTTTGTCCTCACTAATCTTCCTGTTTCAGATACATCGGTCCATGAGAATATGGTAGGAGTAATGACACAGTCATTAGGGAGACAAAGTACAGTCAACACATTTAGAATACCCTCCCATCATGATGTGTGGCACTATAAAAGTGTTAAATGTGTCCGCCTTTAAATAGATCTCACAACTGCAAACTGAGCATCCAAGAGGTACGTTGGGTCATCAGCAGCAGAATTGTATTCAAGCACAATCTGTAACCTCATGGCCTGCGTATTCCCCACTCTATTATCACTATTAAGCTCAGAGATGAATTGTTGTTCAATAAAGAGTGCACAAAGGCATTCCAGGAGCACCAAGCATATGAAAAATCTGGTGAAGCTACAACACAAAACTACTTGTATGTCAAAATGCAGAAGCAGAATTTAAAAGAGATAGCCAAACGATGTCACAATCAGCTGGTCAAATCTAATCTTTGTAGTCTTGTCACATCCGGTCTTGATTGATAATTAAACAACTAACAGGAGGCAGCAGCTCCATAGATTTCTCCACCCTCAATGATAGGGAAATCCCAGGAGATCACTGCAAAAGTCTTGGTTACAGCATTTACAGGTACATTCAGCCAAAGTGCCTAGTAAATGATCCATTTCAGTCTCGGATGGCAGCCTTTGGCCAATTTGATTCAATCCACATTTTATCAAGAAATGGCAGAAAGCACTGGCTACTAAAAAGATTGAGAGGTCTGGCAACGGTCTGGCAGTAGGATTGAAGACTTAGGTCCAAAATTAGCCATGCCACTAACCAAACTGTTGCAGTATAGCTACAAAAGTGGTCAACCTGATAACTGCACAGGCCCTGTCTACAAAATGCAGAATAAATCTATTCTGGCCAATTAAAGCTCCAGCAGACTATTCTCAATCATCAGTGATGGAAGGGGGTCAACAACAATACTGTCAGGCAGCAGTGCTCACTGATGCTCAGTTTGGGTTCTGCCAGGGTCACTCAGCTCCCACTTTCATTGTAATCTTATCCAAATATGGACAATAGTGTTGAACACCAGAGGTGAGGTGATAGTGATTGCTCTTGATATCATAGCCGCATTTGACAAAGTGTAACATCAAAGAGCCCTAGCAAATCAGGAGTCAATAGAAATCAGGGACAAAAACTGCTGGTTGCAGTTATACAGCCAAAATGAAGATGGTTGTGGGTATTAGGGGCCAATAATCTCAATCTTAGGACATTGCTG